CCCTCCCCCCGAAACGCCCCTCGTACATAGGACTTTAACATTGTGTACGCATGCCTTGACTGACCCCCTGACCCCCACCCAGTGCGTACGTACTTATTGAATGAGCCCTTACCACAAATAGTCAATTATTTGATTGACTTTTAAAAGTTTATGTCTGAATATTTATGTAATAACAATTGATAATATTATAATTAATTACATAATAAACTAAACAATTTTGCTCTAATATATCCTTACTGGTAATGACTATAAATAAGATTAAAAATCAAATAATTGAATAAATTATTGATAAAAATCAAATATTGACGGCTTATTGACAAAGCTTACTTTAACGTCATTAATATAACGAGTTTTAATATTAATGAATAGAAATGTTGTGTTTATTCAAAGAATTTTGTACTCTTTATAATGGTATGTAAGGGTGAAGTCAACAATTTTCAAGACTATTTAATGACAAAAATAATTTCAATTTCATTAATAATATCTCTCTTATGCCAATAAATTCAATAAAAATTATCTCCAAACCAAACACAGTCTTCAAATCCAGTGAAACTCTACACAAAAATTACACAATTAATGGTTTAATTCATTGAATACTTATCTCTCTCGCGGACAACACTTTCTCACAATTCCTAATAATTCAGTTTATTTGAGATGTTTTTTCAATAACTTATTATTATATCAGATAAATGGGTGCAAAGTATTAGAAATCATTGAAAACCATTGGAGTGGAGGTAGAGTATGATGACCAATTCATGTCTGACCAGATTGTGCCAATTGGTAAGCAATGGGAGGTCACCTGCAGTGGTAGTGGTGGCGATGATTTGTGTCAAAACTATAGTCTTTTCTATCACTCAATGACATATTCAAACTCAACCCCCACCCCACCAAAGATTTGTGACTGATGCATTTTCATACAGTGTTAACAGCCCCTTAGATCTCCATGATTTAAATGAAAACAAATTATTTGAAATTAAATTTTTTATTCATAGTAATTGTAATTGCTGTAATTATAGAAACATCGCAATCGTAATAAGTGTTTAACAAAGTATTTATTTGTGAGTCAAATGTTTGCGTTCATGTCGTCTATAATTTGACGGATCAGGCAAACGTTTGCCGCAATCTTTATGGTCACAAACGTATGGCTTTTCTCCCGTATGAATGCATTTGCGATCAATAAGTGCTGCCTTTGAGGCGAATTTTTGCCGCAATTATCTTCATCGCAAACAAATAGTTTCAGTTTCAAGTGAACAGCATTTATGTGTTTATTTAAATTGGGTTTCTGTGCGAATCGTTTGTCACAATCCATGTAATCGCATTTAAATCTCTTTTCCTTCAAATGAACGACATTTTTATGTTCATTTAAAATCTCTTTTCGTGCGAAACATTTACCGCAATCACTGTAATCACATTTAAATGGCTTTTCCCCTGAATGCTTGAAACGTTTGTGTTGATGGAGATTAGACTTCTGAGAAAATAGTTGACCACAACCCTCGACATCACACGTGAATGTCTTGAGCTTTAAATGGACGGCCATATTGTGTTGATTGAGATGTGGTTTCTGAGCAAATCGTTTGCCACAATTGGGCCAAAAACACACAAATGGGCGCTCATTGCGGACACTCTTAGCACCCGAACTACTAGTGCTGGCAATGGGTTCACAATTATCGTTGCCTTCTCTGTCATCCTCTCCGACACCACTCTCTCCGTTCTCTTCTACTTCCGACACCTCTTCCGGTCCTTCCGTCTCATCTCTGTCTCTCTCGTCGACCTCTGTGTCCAAAGTCTGCACTTCTTGTGTATCCTCTGACACAACATGTGCTTCCGGGTCACCACTATTCTCGTCCAACACTTCATTCAATCCCTGTATCTCCCGGTGCTCTTCCGATTCATCACTCAATTGGTTGTCATTATAATTGGCATTAATTTTCAATAATTTTTGACAATTTCTGAAATCAATTAATTTGTCATTCAATTCATTATTGTCTCCAAAACTACAATCAATTGAGTTCTCAATGAATTGAGTCTTAGTTTCACACAAATTCTTATCAAAAGCCTTTAGTTTTAATAATAAATTCAATTTTAACTTCATTTAAGTACTAAATGAGTGTACATTTGAAATGGCATTCATTTTGAATGCAAATCAATTCAATTAAACACAAATCACAACAAAATTAAAGCAAAATGTGATCAAAACTCACGAAATGATTGCACTTTTGTGTGATTTTCAACATAAGACTTGAATTACAGTTTATGTCATTGTATTGTCAGTTCAATACAAGTCATAGCTCTCTATTCATACTTTAATTACTGTTTAAACCAATCAAATAATTTAAATTAAAACAAAAATTATTTCAAATTAAATTTTTTTAATCATAATAAGTGGTTACCAATTGCTTTTGTAATTTATTACCGGTATATGTACTTAAATTTTATTGTATTTAATATTTAATTAATAGGTTTTATTTAATTTATTCTACTATACTGCATTTATTACTAATATAAATGCAAATAAAAACTACAAATTAGTCAATAAAAAGCTAGGCAAATTACCTACATTATTTAAAAATAAATTAAAATTTAACAAAATAATTTTTGACATATTTTCTATTCAATTTACTTAAAGTTATTGATTTTGCAATTGAAAATGTTTCACATATTCTGTAATTTGTAGAAAACTTGTTGATCACTAAATTGATTCTTTAGACGAATATAATTCTTCAGTTGATTTTCCGCCAAATTCTGTAAAAACAAAATACTATTACTTTTAATTCATTATACAAATCATTTCAAAAAGTCTGTAATTTAAAATTAATTTACAGAATTTATCTATTCATGTATTAATGTTTGTATAAAATATAAAACATATCAAACTAACCATAAGCTGGGGTTTATCCATAGGAAAGTCATCCATTTCTCCATCAGTTTTAAGACAAAAGAAAAATGTAAAATATTTGTAAACCAATGCAAGCATTTTCACTTCAATTAAGAGGTGATCCATTGAATTGACTTCAT